AAATAGGGGGGAAGGGGATAAGAGAGGGGGAACTGTATATAGATACTTTTCAATTTTATGTACTCAAAATTGTCCATTTTATATGATTATCTCTATCTCTCATTTGATCAGAACTCTTCTTTTAATCCAGAGTTGGGTGAAAAGCATCTCATTTCTTTTCCTTTTTCTTTGTTTACAATATAATCCATCATCATGAATCCCTTTGGAGATTATTGAATTCATCTTACTGGTTCAGAGCTCCTGCAGTTTTAGGACGCTTATTTTGGAAACCAGGCTAGCATCTGCCTCCTTTGGTGTGTCCCCATTCTGAGATCCTATAAGTTTTTTTTAAAAAAATTTTTTATTTCTTCCCAATTGCATGAAAAACAATTTTTAACACTAGTTTTTTTTAAAATTTTGAGTTCCAAATTGTCTCCCTCCCTCCTCTCCACCTTCATTGACATGATAAGCAGTTTGATATAGGTTATTCAGATGTAGTCATATAAAACATATTTCCATATTAGTCATGTTGTGAAAGAAAGCCCTGACCAAAAAAAAAAAAAGAAAGAAAGAAAAGAAAAATAGTACGCTTCAATCTGCATTCAGACTCCATCAGTTCTCTTTCTGGAGGAGGATAGCATCTTTCATCATGAGTCCTTCAGAATTTTCTTGGATCATTGTATTGCTGAGAATAGCTATGTCATTCACAGTAGATTCTCATATAGTATTTCTGTTACTGTGTACAATGTTTTCCTTATTTCTTTTTGCATCAGTTCATATAAGTCTTCTTTTTGCATCAGTTCATATAAGTCTTTCCAAGTTTTTCTGAAATCATCTTGCTCATCATTTCTTATAGCACAATAGTTTTCTATTACAAGCATATGCCACAACTTCTCTAGCCAGTCCTCAATTAATGGTCATCCTTTTAATTTATAATTCTTTGCCACCACAAAAAGAGCTGCTATAAAAATTTTTATACAAATAGGTCCTTCCCTCCACCCCCTTTATTATCCTTTTGGGATAGAGACCTAGTAGCAGTATTGCTAGGTCAAAGGGAATGAACAGTTTTATAGCCCTTTGGGCATAGTTCCAAATTGCTACCCAGAATGGTTGGATCATTTAACAACTCCACCAACAATGTATTAGTACCTCAATTTCCCCACATCTCCTCCAACTTTTATTATTTTACTTTTCTGTCATATTAACCAATCTGATTGGTATAAGGTGGTACCTCAGTGTTGTTTTAACTTGCATTTCTCTAATCAAATAGTGATTTAAAGCATTTTTATATGACTATAGATAGCTTTGATTCCTTTGTCTGAAAACTGCCTATTCATATCCTTTGTCCATTTATCAACTGGGGATTGACTTATATTCTTATAAATTTGACTCCAAATATTTGAAAAATGAGGCATTCATCAGCGATACTTGCCTAAAAATTCCCCCCCCCCACCCCCGCTTTCTGCTTTGCTTCTAATTTTGCCTGCCTTGGTTTTGTTTGTACAGAATTTTTTTTTTTTTTTTTTTGGTGAGGCAATCAGGGTTAAGTGACTTGCCTGGGGTCACACAGCTAGTGAATATCATGTGTCTGAGGCCAGATTTGAACTCAGGTCCTCCTAACTCTAGGACCAGTGCTCTATCCACTGCACCATCTAGCTGCCCCCAGAAAATTTTTAATTTAACATAATCAATATCCATTTTATATCACATAATGTTCTCTATCTCTAGTTTGGTCACAAATTCTTCCCTTATCCATAGATCTGTCAAGTTAACTATTCCATGCTCCCCTAATTTACTTATGGTATCCCCCTTTGTTTCGAAATCATGTACCTATTTTGACCTTATCTTGGTTTTACAGTGTAAGATGTTGGTGTATATCTAGTTTTTGCCATACTATTTCCCTTTTTTCCCAGCAGTTTTTGTCAAATAGTGAGTTCTTGTCCCAAAAGCTTAGATCTTTGGGTTTATCAAACACTAGATTACTATGTTTATTTACTACTGTGTATTGTGTACCTAATCTATTCCACTGATCCACCACTCTATTTCTTAGCCATTACCAGATTGTTTTTGATGATTACCACTTTATAATATATTTTGAGATCTGATATGGCTAATCTACTTTCCTTCACATTTTTTTTTCATTATTTCCTCTGATATTCTGGACATTTTTTCTTTCAGATGAATTTTGTTGTTTTTTCTAGTTCTATAAAATATTTTTGGTAGTTTGGTGTGGCACTGAATAAGTAAATTAATTTAGGTAAAATCATCATTTTTTATCATATTGGTTCAGCTTTCCCTTGAGCAATTACTATTTTTCCAGTTTTTCAGATCTGACTTTATTTGTGTGAAAAAGTATTTTGTTAATTATGCCCATAGAGTTCCTGGTTTTATCTTGACAAGTAGACTCACAAGTATTTTATATTGTCTACAGTTATTTTCAATGGAATTTCTCTTTCTATCTCTTTTTGCTGAGCTTTGTTGGTAATATAGAAATGCTGATGATTTCTGTGGGTTTTGCACAAAAAAAACTTACAACTTTTATAAAATTGTCAATTATTTCAATTAGTTTTTTAGATGATTCTCTAGTATTCTCTGAGTATACCATCATATCATTTGCCAAAAGTGATAGTTTTATTTTCTCATTGCTTATTCTAGTTCTTTGAATTTCTTTTTCTTTTCTTATTGCTATAACTAGCATGTCTAGACTGATATTGAATAATAGTGGTGATAATGGGCTCCTTTGCTTCACCCCTGACCTGATTGGGAAGGCTTCTAGCTTGTCTTCATTACAGATGATGCTTGCTGATAGGTTTAGATGGATACTACTTATCATTTTAAGGAAAGCTCCATTTCTTCCTATGCTTTCTTTTTTTTTTAAAATAAGAGTGGGTGCTGTATTTTGTCAAAGACTTCTGCATCTATTGAGATAATGATATTATTTCTGTAGGTTTTGTTATTGATATGGTCAATTATGCTCATAGTTTTCCTAATATTGGACCAGCCCTGCATTCCTAGTATAAATTTCACCTGGTCATAGTGTGTAATCCTTGTGATATATTTCTGTAATCTCCTTGCAAGTATTTTATTTAAAATTTTTTGCATTATTATTCATTAGAGAAATTGGTCTATAATTTTCTTTCTCTGTTTTGGCTCTTGCTGGTTTAGGTATCAGTACCATATTTGACTATTTTTCCAAATAGTTTATATAGTATTATAATTAATTGTTCGTTAAATGTTTGGTAGAATCCATCTGGCCTTGGGGATGGAATCCTATCAATTTTAAGTCCTGTTTGCATTGTAAAGAAAAAAAATTTTTAAGACTTACAAACTGATCAATGCAATGATCAATTATGACCAATTAAGGACCAATGATGAAGAATCCAGCCAGCCTCCTGACAAAGAAATGACGCACTCAAGATACAGCATTAGACATATATTTTTGAACATGGCCAATGCTTGACTTTGTCTCTTTTGACAGTTTATTTGTTATAAGCTTTAAAAAAAATTTAATAGGAGGGAGAGAAAATAAATGCTCATTAATTGAAACAAACAAACAAACCCAGCTTTAAGGCCCTGTTTAACTAAAGCTCTTGTTGGTTTCTGCTTTCACACATGGAGCCCTTTGCTATGCTCCTGTAGGCTTACCTTCTTGTGTTCTTGTGTATTGTTTGTTTGGATGGAGGGATGGAGGAGCTTCCTGGTATTTCTCTTTGGCTTTCTCGGTCATTATTCAATCTAGTGTCCTCTTAGATCCTAGTTAGGGTTTTTATGGGAGTACTGGTCTCCTTCAGTACCTTTCATGTCACTTGTTATTAATGGTCTTTTGTGTTTATTTGTTTTATTTTTGTTTATCTGTGCACATGTGGTACCCTCCAAGTAGGATACAAACATCTTGAAGGCAGGAATGATTTTTTTTATCCCCACCACCTACCACAGTGCCCTAAAACTTAGTAAGTACTTAGTAAAGCCTTTTAAATTGAATTGGAACTTTCCTATTATGTAAGATGAAGATGAAAATTCTTAATTTTTTGGGCATAATTTGCTATCAGATTAGAGAGAATTAGTCTGTGAGAAATAGAATTTAAAAAACTACTTTATGGTACATTTGAACAAATGAACTGAACATACAAACCAGATATATTCGGCAAAGTAATCATTTTATTCACTTTTCAAGGGTAAAGTCCAACATTTGAAGAGTGCTCTAAACTCCACTGAGAAAGGCAGCTTATTGGTTTAAAAATGAAATATTTCTATTTATTATAGTTATTGTAATAAGCCACAAGGTTAGCATACCATATGTATCTTTAGACTACTGAGTCAAAATAAAAGTGATGAAGGTGTTTTTTAATCTTAATCTTGTTTATATAGATGTCAAATTGGAAACTTTGCAACTTATTGTCTTTTTCACAAAGGCCTTTAAAAAAAAAACCTACTCAATGGGCAAGTTATGTGACTTTTTGCTTTGTGTATGAAACCACATGTCCCTAGTTTCTTTTGGCCTTTTTGTTCTTGCCATATTTGGCATCTGCTATTTTGTCTTTTAACTGAAGCAGCTAGTTGGTTTCTTTCTTTCTTTAATATGGCCATAGTGTGACCTTAGGAAACAGAAATTTCTATCTATAAAAAGGCCCATCACAGCTTTAATATTTCTTTTGATTAAAAGTCCTGCTTGGAATAGCAGACGTGGTGAGAAATCTATTGTTAATTTTAAATGATTCTAAAATCATGTGTCCCCATGATACTTTAGTTCTTATGATGATTTATGCTTTAAGAATCAAATCTGGTTTATGTCTATACGAGGATTGCATTTCATCTTCCCTTCTAAACACTCTAAGCTTCTGAAAATTCATTCCTTATAACTTTTAAGGTGAGTTGAAATGTAAAACATAAAAATGAAAAATGTGGTTTGAACACAGTCCCCTGTTAATCTGACTTTCAGTTAGGAATACATCAATTTTCTTTTGCATTGGTAATTCATTGTTCTTCCTTTTTTTCCCCCCTTTTTCTTTTTCTTTTCTTAGATCCCATTTTACTCTACCCAAATTCTTCAGTTCTAGGTCTAAGGATAGCTGCTTTACTGAAAAGACTCCTTTGTTGAAGACTTCCTCAGAAGAAAATGGGTGAGGATTTTCTCTGCATAATTCAGATTCTTGAGCATAACTGCATACTAGTTCTCACTTGAATTCATTAAACATTTACTAATTACCTACTGTGTGCATCAGGAACTATGCTAGAGACAATGGGAACACAAATGAGAGTCCCTTCCCTCAATGAGCTAACATCCTACTGTGAGGAAATAACATATACATACATATAAGGTATATACAAAGTAATTTTTGAGAAGCAGCAGTAACTGGCACATAGTAGGCACTTAATCAATATATATTGATTGACTAGTTGAAGAATAAACCTTGGAGTCAGGAAGACCAGAGTGGAAGTCATTCTCTGACACAGTACTGTGTGATCCCAGGAAAGTCACTAAACCTCTCAATGTCCTGTGTGACTAAATTATTAAGTTGCCAAGGAGTTGGAAAGGGGGCACTGATCTACATCAGTAGTAATGGTTTCCTAACTAGACATTCCCTATACTCATGAAATCACAGGTCCAGGTCCTAATGCCCTTTTCTCTACCTCCCCAAACAAAGACGGCATAGTTTTCAAAAGGAAGAGACCACTACAAAGAGCACTAGAATTAAGAGTCCTAAGATTTAGGTTCTAATCTGTTGGTTATTTTACTACAAAAATGACTTTGGACAAATCACTTAACTTATTTGGGTCTCAGTTTCCTTATCTCTTAAATGAAGGGGTGAACTAGAAGGCCTCTAACATTCTTGCCAACTCTATATAATCTTGTCAGGTAGCTAGAGTGCTAGGCTTGGAGTCAGGAAGACAAGGTCAAATCTAGCCTGTGATGTTTATTAGCTCTGTGACCCTGGGCAAGTCACTTTACCCCTTTTGACCTCAGTTTCCTCATCTGTGAAATGGGGACAATAATCACACCTACTTCCCCGCCTCCCCAGGATTGTTGTGAAGATCAAATGAAACAATAATTGTAAAGTGCTTAGCACAATGCCTAACACATAGTAAGCACTATAAAATTTAGTTATTATATTGATGAGTAGGCAGATTTCAGAAAAACCTGGAAAGATTTATATGAACTGATGCTGGGAGAAGTGAGCAGAACCAGGAGAACATTGTACACAGCAACAGCAACATTGTGTGATGATTAACTGTGATAGACTTAGCTCTTCTCAGCAATACAGTGATCCAAGATAATTCCAAAAGACTCTGGAAAACACTAATCGCATCCAGAGAAGGGACTATGGAGTCTGGATACAGATCAAAGCATATCATTTTCTCTTTTTTATTTTGTGTTTTTCTTTCTCGTGGTTTTCCCCTTTTGTTCTGATTCTTCTTTCACAACACGACTCATGTGGAAATACGTTTAACATGTTTGTACATGTATAACCTATATCAGATTGCTTTCCATTCTTGGGAAGGGGGGAGGGAAGGGAGGAAGAAAAATTTAAAACTCAAAATTTTACAAAAATGAATGTTGAAAACTATCTTTACATGTAATTGGAAAAAATATTATTAAGGGAAAAAATAAAAAAAATAAATTGGTTAAAATGAAGATATATTAAAAATAAAATAAAATTTAGTTATTATTATTATTATTATCCTACTCATGAGTAGAACTTCACTTTCTAATTCCCTCTGAAACTTCAGAATTAGAGCAGGGGTTCTTAACTCAAGGTCCATATACCCCCAAAGGGGAGAAGATTTCAGGTGCCTCACCTCTAACTGAAATTTCTATCTTCTTTCAATTATTGGAAAAATTATTCTGTCAAATCCATCTGTTTCACCAGATTGCCAAGTGGCCCATGCCATGAGAAAGGTTAAAAAACCTTGCCTTAGAGTCAGAAATTTTTAGGGTATAGTCACAGAATTGATGTATTTCAAGGTTTCTATGCAGCTTGTTATTAAAATCTTTTGCAGTCTGCTTCTCCCCATTTACCTGTGGTTTCTTTCCACCACAGCTACAGAAGTAACATTTGCTTTCTTAGTGAATTAGTTAAAACAGTCTTGCCATTCCATCTTGCTCCACATTGCCTAGTTTTTCATGTTAGGATGGAAAATAAAGGAAAGTCACAGATAATCCCTAAACCATGGATAGAAACAGAAAGAAAAGGATTACAGTCACATTGGTCCTGGAGTTAAGAAGACCAGAGTTCAAATTCAGCTTTAGATACTTACTAACCCTGTGACCCTGGGCAAGTCACTTAACTCCTTTCAGCCTCAATTTCCTCAACTAAAAAAACGTGGCTAATAACAATACCTACCTTTTGAAGATGTTGTGAGGATCAAGTGAGATAATATTTATAAAGTGCTTAGCACAGTTCCTTGCATATAGTAGGTGATATATGAAAGTTTATTCCCTTCATCCTTTCCTCTTCATCTCTGCCAACATTGTGACTACATTGAATATTTTTTCGCAGAAAGTTTTCTTTCTTCTTGACTTCTTCTCTCGTTCTCTTTTATTTTTAGAAACAATAATGGTTCCTCTCCCTCCAACTCTTGGAATCAATACCTTTTAAACAGTGTTTCAATTTACTCATTAAATGCTTCTCATTTCAGCACCACAGCTATAGCTCACAGGATTCCATACCAGCTGCATTGAAAGAGCCTGAATTTGCAAAACCAAGCTAACCAAAAACATAACTTTAAAAATAAAAATAACTTTAAAAATACAAACAAAGCATAACAAAGTTGTAAAAAATCTATAAAATTGATTTATCTTAAGTGTGTAGAAATGAGATTTTTTTTTCTTCAATTCTACATCAAAGTGAGACATGCCTTTCCAAGAAGTCAGTTATACAGTGCTTTGCATAAAGCAGCTGCTGTTTAAGTATTTGTTGATTTGAATTGATATGGAATTCAGAATTTAATAATTAAAGAAAAATGAATAATTGTTGAGGTTAAAGAATTGAATAAGTACCACAGTGAGTACAAACAAATCAGTTTGGGCAGGTCTGGGGACTGACTCTTGTCCTGAAAGATTGGCACAGTCCAGGGGTTGGGAACCTTTGGTCTTGAGGCCACATGTGGCCTTCTAGCTCCTCAAATGTGGCCCTTTGACTGAATCCACTCCGGAATTCATTTTGAAGAACGGATCTCTTTTATTATTTCTTATGTCAGGATTGTGTTGTCTTTGTCCCCAGATTCAAATCATGAAGTGTTTTCAGGTGCCATGATTTTAATATTAAGTGCTAACTCTTCTCGCTAAATACTGAACTTGACTATGGTTATGCTCAATGTTTTATGGGATAGATGTTGGGCCTGGGAAGAAGGAACAGGGGGTAACATAAGTGCATTGAGAATAGTCAGCTATTTCCCCTCTTCCATGGTCCCCCAGAATGAGCTCAATTGCTATGATAGTACAGAAGTTCTTAACCTGGGGTCCAAGGAGAACACAAGGCTTCACTGGATGGATTTCAAGGGGTCTGTAAACTATATTTTCCAAGGGGTGGAGAACCTGTGGTCTTGAGGCCACATGTGGCCCTCTAGGTCCTCAATTGTGGCCCTTTGACTGAATCCAAACTTCACAGAACAAATCCTTTAATGATTTGTTCTATAAAACTTGGACTCAGTCAAAAGGTTGTACCCAAGGACCTAGAAGGCCACATGTGACCTTGAGGCTGCAGGTTCCCCACCCCTGCTTAACTTCTAACTGAACTTTATCATTTCTGCAATTATTTCCCAAAGCATTCTTCCTGTGTGGAGTTATAAGCTTCACCAGACTGCCAAAAGGAATTATGGCACACAAAAAGACTTCTGCTATCCCAAGAACTAGAACCTGTTGGAACAGATGGTACCTTTCCTTAGGCCACCACTGTGTTCCAAGAAGAAAGTCCCAGGTCAAAGTTATGATAGACAGGTTGCTAATTACTTTGGGAAGGACCATTTCTACATCTACTCTTAAATATATTCATTCATTCATTTTAGGCCTCAGACTGTATTTCATCAGTGTTGGGAACTTGCTGTGAGAAAAATTTCTTCATTGATGCAGATCTGCAACTGTTTTACGATTTGTATTGTTAGAGAATTTCCAGGAATAACAAGAGTTTAAGTGACTTGCCCAAAATCACACAGCGTGTGCACATCAAAGACTGGAGTTGAACCATATGTGTTCCTCACTTAGAAGGCCAGCTTTTTATCTACTTAGACGTGCTATCTCCCTGTCACTCTCACCAGAACAATGTTAGGTGTTTAGAAATGGTGCTACTAGGTCCTGAGGCTGCTATGGTACACCGTGGCTTCCCAGTTATAGCTGCCATGTGGTTTTGTTGAGGTCAGATTTGAGAGAGCAGTTCAGGTGTGAAAGAATTCACTTAGACCACCTTTTCTCAGCCATTCATTGGGAGCTTTATTATATGAAAGCTTCACAGGCCCCAATAGCGAGAAGCTAATGAAAGGCCCTGATATTTGGAAGGACTAGGTTTATACAGACAGAAAGCTATGCAGCCTGTAGGATGATGATGTAATTTTAAGGTTTCTTATGGGGGTTGAAGATTAGGGATAGGATGAGGAAGATGATTGCTTACAAGATAAGGAGAAATTGTCATGACACAGGATGAAGGAGAAAAGGAATTTTATGGTCCAGGATAAGGGGAAGTTTTATGGTATTTCAAGATAAAGGGAAGAGACTTTAGGATGCCCTCAAGCTCAGAAGGGGCCTCACAGTACCGGAAAAGCAACCCTTAATATTCTTTTTAATCCTTAGAGCACCATTTGTATCCACATCAGTTTAAGCAGCCAGGCCTTTTTATAGGTTGGCTAACTGAAAGAGAGAGAGAGAGACAGACAGACAGACAGACAGACAGACTAATAGACAGACCAATAGACAGACAGGCAGACATAGAGCAGGGCTCAAGGCAAATTTCCCGGTACACCCATCTACTTGGTATAAACTGACATTTGTAGTTCAACCATTTCAGTCATATCTGACTCTTTGTGACCCATTTGGGTGTTTTCTTGGCAAAGATACTGGAGTGGTTTTCGAGGAAACTTAGGCAAACAGGGTAAGTGACTTGCTCAGGGTCACACAGCTAGTGAGTGTGTGAGGTCAGGTTTGAATTCAGGTCTTCCTGACTCTAGGCCCTGTGCTCTATTCACTGCGACACATAGCTGCCCTGGCTGGCATTATCTTAGTCAAATTAGCATGGTTGATTATTGTGCAAGTTTTTTGATAGCTTTATTTTTGCTTGCTTCTTGTTATTTTAATTTTTGCCAAGTTTATTTGCTTCCTGTTTATTTAATATTTAAGCATCTTGTGAATTTAAAGAAACTCTCCCTTTTTAAAAGGTTATATTTAAGTAATTTTGAAACAGAGTTAATCTTTTCAGTGTTTTCAAGACTATTTGGGGGGGGGCTGGTAGTGCATGCCTGTAATCCCTGTTACCAGGGAGTCTGAGTTCTCTTGAGTTTGTGAGTCCTGAGTTGCAGTAGACTAAACCAGTTGGATGTTTGTCTGCAAGTTCAACGTCAATATGAGCATCCAAGGAGTAAGGGGCCACCAGATTGGCTAAAGAAGGACAAATCAGAGCTGGGTTGGAAATTGAGTAGGTCAAAACTGCTCTGGTCTGAATGGGAACAGACCCATGAGAACTTCCTAAACTTCCAGCCTGGGTGAGATAGGGAGAGCTAATCTTTAAAAAAAAATGGTCTAACCTTTTATGTATGAATAATGTAAAACCTATGTCTAACATTGTTATTAGTAATTAGGTAACTTGTGAGGTAGACCTGAGAATGATATGGCTTCAAAAAGTAAAACCATTCAAGTACAGCTAAAAGAGTAATTATTTTTTGCAAATGAGGTATAAGAGGAAGAACCAATACAGAGAGGGGAGCTGTTAGTTCTGTAAACCTACTCTTATTGGGAATGGGTTTAAGAGGGGAAAATACATATATATTTAGAAGAGCATAAAAGTCTTCTAAATTTAGAAAGAAATAAAATTCTAAGGGGATAGGAGGGGGAAGAGGATAAAGGAGGAATCTTTAGAGGGGAGGGTATGGGCATAGCTTAAAAGGAAGATATAGAAGGGGGTTTAGATTTAGGGAAATGGGAGGATAAGTGAGGGATTGCTGGAGTGGGGATATGTTAAGTAATAGGAGGGTAACGTAGCAAGTAAAAGTAAAGTAGAGGGGTTAGGAGAGGGAGGAAAAAAAAGAGATATGCACAAACAAAAAAACAAAGATTGGGAGTAGAATCTCTTAGGGAAAGTTTATGTTTATATATGTGTGTATGTATGTATATATGTATGTATGTGTATTTATGTTTAAGTGTATGTATATATCAGTACCTATATATATATATATATATATATATATATCTCCAATGCTCAATTATAGCCTTGGGGTGGTGGGTAGGAGGAAGGGAGGAGGAAAAAAGAACCAAGTAAAAAGTATACAGCAGAGAACAAAAGAAAACCTATAAGAAAGCAAAAAAAAAAGAAATAGTTTTCAACATAATGCACAGCATTTAATATATAGGCTTTCTTGAAATGAAAAGTTATTGCTATGTATTTTGAATCTTCTCCTATGTTCTGCTGTGCACATGACATTTTTTGTTTTTTTCTTATTTTATATTTAAATTATAATGTTTATTTTTCTTTTCTTATGTATTTGTTTTAGCATTTGTCTATAATAAAAAAATTAAGAAAAAGATTTAAAAAAGAAAGGAAAAAGTGGTATATCATATTTTTTCTTTTTATTTGGCAGTGTAATTATACTGATAGTTTAGGGGAATGCTATATAGATATAGTTTACCTAGATTTTAGCTAAATATTTAACAAAGTCTTTGCTATTTTTATAGAAATGATGGTGAGATATGGGCTACATAATAGTACAGTTAGGGGGATTTGGGACTGGATGAATAGGAAAATCCAAAGAGTAGTCCTTAAAGGTCAATGTCCATTTAGAGGGCAGTCTATAGAGTACATAAGGGATCTGTGCTTGGTTCTGAATTGGTAAAGAATTTTTATGAATGATAGATAAAGGTCTATATAGCATGCTAATCAAATTAGAGAACACAAAAAGCTAGGCCAAATAGCTAACATATCAGACATGGAATCAGGATCCAAAAATATCTTGACAAGTTAAAATATGAGGCCAAATTTTATAGGCATAAAGGTAATATCTTATACATGTATTCAAAAATTCAGCTTTATAAGTACAATGTGGGGAGGCAATAGTTTATCTATGGGCAAACTTTAGAGGATTGCAAACATTTTCGTAATTTCATAATTCAATCTTAAGTTGCATTCAGAGAAGGATAGTTTCCCAGACTAATGAAATGGCACTTGTACTTTGCCTTAATTGGACCACATCTAGAATACTCTGTTCACTTCTGGATCCCCCACTTTGAGGATAACGCATAACCTGGAGAACATCTAGAAGATGACAGCTAGGATGGTGAAGAGCCTAAAAAATCATGTTGTGTGAGAATTATTTGACGAAACTAGTGATGTTTAGCTCTGAGAAGATAGGACTTGGCAAGGAAATGATAGATCTCTTCAAATATTCTGAGGAGTATCATTTTAAAGAAGAATTAGCCTTGTTCATCTTGGCTCCAGAGGGAAGAACTAGAAGCAATGGGTAAAAGTTTTCAAAAGGAAAATTTAGGCTTGATTTAAGGGAAAAATCTCCAACATTTAGAGCTATCTTTTTTTAAAAATTGTACTGTGTTATAGAAATGCTTGTTTTGTTCTGTAAATTGAAAATAAAATTAATTAAAAAAATAAAAGTGGAATGTGTTATCTCAGGAGGTAGTGAGTTTCCCTTAAATGGAAGTCTTCAGGATAAGAATAGATGACTTGTCAGATGTACTAAAGGATGAATGATTTTTCAAGTATGTTTTGGACTAGATGGTTTCTTGAGGATCCTTCCAATTTTGAGAGTCTGTGGTTATATGTAATATGGGACAAAGTTCTCATCAGAGATTCTGAAAGAATTAATTTATTCTCATTATTTGTGAGGGAAAACAATCCATCAGTTAAAGTTTTGTCTATATTTATGTCTGTTCAGCAGATGGTGGAATGTGGTATTTATTCCTTTCACAACTGAGTATTTCCTAGAAGAACCACATAATTGTTAGAGAAGATTAATGATTATTTTTAAAGTCTGTGCTATGTTTGTATCATTTGTTACCTTGCTACATGTTGGTTTTACACAACCTAATTTGCCTCTCTGGGCTTCTTCCTGTGAATGAGTCTGGTTTTTTTTTTTTTTTATTGCAGTGAAATGGTATTAAAGCAGAGATATGCATCTGGAAAAATCAAAATATCCCCATTTAATTGGCTCATTTGATGTGTTTGGCTCATATGTAACCACTCATTCTTGCAGATTTTTGTTGGTACAGTATAATTATTTTGGTCCCAGTAGTATTTCAAGCACCTTGGTTTATAATCAAAGTGTATCTGCAGCAAGGGAGTTGTGCTGAAGGACCATGTATCCGTTGAAAATTGTTATTATATAGAAATGCTGGGTTTTGTGGTTTTATTTTGCAGCCTTCCACTTTGTGGAAGTAGTTAATTTTTCCAATTAGTTTCTTTGCTGATTCCCTAGGATTTTCTAAGTAAACCATTATGTGACCAGCAAACAGTTTTTGAATCGTTCTCATTAAAAATGACAAGTTAATAAAAATACCAATATGTACTTCTTTTGGTAGGGAACATGGTACAGTGTAAAGAGCATGAAATTTAACATTGGTAGACCTGGGTTAAAATTCTGGCTCTGCTGCTTACTACTTGTGTGACCTTCAGTGTGAATCACTTAAGCTCTTGAGGCCTCAGTTTTCTCATTTGTATAATGAGGAGATTGCCCTTGATGACCTCTAAGATCTAGAGGTAGCTAAAGTGATGCACTGCATAGAGCACTGGGCCTGGAGTCAGGAAGACCCAAGTCAGAATCAGATCTCAGACCATTACTAGCTTTGTGACCCTGAGCAAGCCATGTCTTACTCTCTATTTGTCTCAGTTTCTTTGACTGTAAAATGGTGGTAATAATAGCACCTACTTTATGAGGATCAAATAAGATACTATTTGTTAAAGCACTTAGCACAATACCTGGCCCATAGTAGGTGCTTTATAAGTGCCTATTCTTTTCCTTTCCTTCTCCTTCCCTTTCCCTTCCCTTCTAAGGTCCCTTCTCACTTTAAACCTAAGATAGTATTTGAACCCCTATAACTCATTCTATTGAGTCGTGGTCATATTTCACTGCCTAGCTAGTCGAGCATTGATAATTACATGATATTTCTCCCTCAGGCCCATGTTTAAAGAGGGATGAAGAGTAACAAACTAAATTATATTTCTTTCAATCCCATAAAAGAAGAACCCAGAAGGCCTTCACAGAGGAAAAGAGAGCCATTTATATGAAATTTTATTATATCAATTATATTAAGGCTATTGTAGCAGGAGTATATTGAGCCTTGATTTATGATTGGATTAAAAAAAGTGATGCTGTTTTATACTGAATAGAAGCTCAGGCACTGGGATGGCTTTCATTGTAGATACCTCCCAACAGGGCAAGTAGCCCTCTGTTGAGCTCTGGTTTATAACTGATCACTGGGAGGCTGATGGATAGACTAAATAACCTCAGTAGGCATCTTCCAAGCAAGAATTCTGTGTTAGGCAACCTGAAACTGTAGAACAAGAGATGGATGTTGAGTCAGGGGACCTGCGTTCAAATCTTGGTTCTACTATTTCCTCTGCCTATGTGACCCTCGGCAAATCACTTAACCTCTCTAGCCTTCAATTTCTCATCTGTGAAATGGGGATTTCTGGATGAGGAGGCCAGTAAAGTCCCTTGTAGATTTCAATCTAGGGTCTTATGACTTCAGAAAAAGTTTCCATTTTATATGAGTAATGGAGTCTAATTAGGTTGGCTGTGATTCTCTCCATTAACATGACTAGATTACATGGATGTTTACCTAGATCTTTACTGAAAGAAAAAGACTGTTTTCGTTTCAGTTTTTTAAAAAAAAATGTTTTCCAGGTTACAACGCATGACTATTCACCGTTCAGTTTCCCTCATGGATGATGAATCTTGGGACAGTAGCGCTGCTGACTGGGAGCAAAGAGGTCTTTTAGGAAATGAAATTGTCAGCTTCTCCACATCTGCTTCCTCAGAGAAGAGTGAATTTCTGGACAGTTTTCATGTCAAATTCAATCTATCAAAACTGAGGTGAGGATACTTCCTCCATATGTCAATATTACCACCGGAAACTCTTAATAGATAGATAGAGCAATTATTTAGCTTTTGCTATGTGCCTGAGCACTGGGAAAAGGAATATAAACTAAAAGACAAATCCTACCCTCAGGGATCTTACATTCTAATTGGGAAAGACAATATGTAAAAGGGAATTGTAAAAGTCTAGATAATCAGGAGTGGAGCCAGGAAGGCACTTGCTGAAATGGAGGCTCTAGGCTAGAACTCTTCAACAGAAGGAGGGAACCACAGTGGTTAAGACATCTGCAGGGTGAGAATGCAGCAGAGGATGAGAAGTCTAGAGATTGATGAGGGGATTTACATTACTTTCCCATAATTTTTAGTAATCACATGATACTTACATACCATATATGTAATATAAATTATCTCCTGGTAGTCTGAGTTAGAGACTTAGTCTTTAGCTAATTTAGCTGAAAGAAAATTGTTCCTGATCATATCCTAGGCTTGCTTTACATGTGTGACTATGGATCTAATTTGTCCCAAGATTGGGCTGTGTTATGTCCCTTCCTTCTATTACCCAGGAGAAAACAACCTGCCTGTTTCTATTATCCTCAGTCTGAGTGTTCATCTGGCCCCAATGCATTTTCCCCTAAAAATTATGCCTGCTTTCCACAAATTCATGCAGAAGGAGGGATTTGAGCTGAGTCTTAAAGGAGACCAGGAAAACTAGGAGACAGAGGTAAGGAGGGAAAGCTTCCCAGGTAGAGGAGATAGCCAGTGCAAAATGCAGAGTTGGGAGAAGTGGATGAGAAATCTCAACTAGACAAGTATAGCTGGATTGTGTACAGCAGGGATGGGGGACCCTCATGAATTCAGATTTATCTTATGAGAGTCTAAAGGACCATCTTAACTTTCCTCCTTTCCTTACACCTTTCCTCTCTCCCTCCTTCATTTTTGTTACAATTTTCTTTGGAATTTATATTTGGGGGAGTTGGGGTAACTGGTAGTGCTGCTGAAGGAAGATGCATTTTTCTTCCTCTTGTACTTCTATAAGGAGCAAAGCAGAAGCTGTGGCTATTGAGGGAGAGGACATGTTATCTTTTGTGAAGAGCACAAGAGAGTATGGAGACCCAGGTTCTATTGCTTTGCTTATCTATTAAACTACTAATTACTTAGGTGACAGGAGACAAGTAGTATAGTCTCTCTATGCCCATTTCCTCAATTTTGAAATGGGGATAACAATTTCTGCTTCATTTATCTCATAAGATTCTTCTGAAAATTGAACTAAAAATAAATTTTGGAGCATTTTTCAGAATCTTGAACACTAAAACTTGTTGTGTTGTTGTTATTTAGACAAGACTTATTGGCATAGGGAACTCCCAGTAAGGGAAATCCCCCCATCAATGAAAAGCAACACCTGGTTAGCAGCTTCTAGTCTTACAGAATTGTTCATGGGCATTGAATGGGTAAGTGATTTGCCCAAGGTCAGAGTTAGGGCATTTCAGAGGGGGAACCTGAACCAGGGATTTCCTTATTGAAAGGCTGGCTCCCTATCTAATACAACAGGAATGTTTACTGTGACTATAGATGAGGGCTAAAGCATACTGTTACAGAATTGTGGACTCTTCATAAATTATCTAGAGTAGGGGATCTTAACCCAGGGATCTATGAACGTTTAAAATATTTGACAACTTTTTTTCAGTATAAAGAACTTCCTTTGTAATCTTCTATATTTTATGCATTTGAAAATAGTTTTGAGAAGAGAACCATAGGCTTCACTAGACTAACAAAGGGGGCCATGACACAAAGAGAGTTTAGAACCCCTAATCCCTGGGATGAACATTTACCCCATCTCTCCCATATCTACTGGACAATCCAGATCTACTTGTTTACTTGTGATTTCTCATCCAATTCTTCTAACTGCATTTTGCACGGGTTCTCCCCTCTGCCTGGAGCACTTTCCCTCCTCCCCTCTGCCTCTTAATTTTTCTGGTTTTCTTTAAGACTCGGCTCAAATCCTGCTTTCTGCATAAGGCCTTTTGTGTATGTAGATTCGACCTTAATATGTTGAAAAATAATTTGGCAGTGGAACCTTTGGCAAGTTATTTCATTATTCTGGGACTTGGTTTTCTTATCTTAAAAATGAGGGGATCACTAAGTTTCCTTCCCCCTCTAATATTCTATTAGCCCTCTGATTAGAGATGCTCCCTTGGTTCCTTGTCATAGTTAAGCACGTCTTAAAGTTCATCATACAGTATACTTATATCCTACGAGGAAGCAATAGAACTTAAAATTATTTAATACCACTTAAAATGAGGACAAAACATGCTTGAGCCTATAGTATTAAAAATGACATTGTTGTCTTTGGCTTGACATGTCTACAAAGTGCTACACATGAAAAATAAAGTGACTTAAAAAATCTTTTTAGCTTGTCAACTCTGCTGTTGTGTGTATTTGAGTTATGTGGGAATGAGTGGTACTGAACTTGAAGTAGTTCAATTAATGCCTCATATTTTTAAAAAGAAATGTCATTATGATTCCCATTTAAATAAGAACTGTTGAAACATAATTTTGGAAGTGTGGAATGGTAATTTATCAAATGCATTAAATCTGAAAGAATGTTGAATAAGGTCTTAACATTTGCAAAGGTTCAGAAGGTCTTGGAAAAACTGTTGGATTAAGGTTGATGATGCTTTATCAGATGGGCAGAATAGTTAAAGAGGTCTGCCTAGTATATGTATTTTTTGATACTTAAAGAATTTTTTAAGCACGTAGGTAGGTACTGTACTAACTTCTGGGGATGCAACGACAAAACAAAATAGTCTCTGAGCTAACATTTTTGGAAATGACAATCACAAAGAAAATTAAATATAAAATATACACAAATTATTTCCAGAGAAAGGACACTAGCAACTTATCAATCAATTGCTCAATCCATAAGTATTTATTAAGTGTCTACTATGTGCCAGGGCGTTGAGCTAAGCTGGGGATACAAACTAGTATATTCTTTTAAAAATTTATTTATTTATTTATTTTTAGTTTTCAACGTTTACTTCCAAGATTTTGATTTTAAAATTTTCTCCCATTCTTTCCCCTCCCCCCACCCCATGACGGCATGCATTCTGAATGGCCCTTCTCCCAATCTGCCCTCCCTTCTGTCACCATCCCCCCATCCCCCATTCTCTTATCCCCTTCCCTTTCTATTTTCCTGTAGGGCAGCATAGATTTCTATACCCCATTGCCTGTGTATCTTATTTCCCTATTACATGTAAAAACAATTTCTAACATTCGTTTTTAAAACTTTGAGTTCCAGATTCTCTCCCTTCCTCCCTCCCCATCCACCCTCATTGAGAAGGCAAGCAATTCAATATAAGTTATACATGTGTAGTCATGCAAAACACTTCCATAATAATCATGTTGTGAAAGATAAGTATACTTCCCTCCATTCTATCTCGCCTCCCTTTTATTCTATTCTCTCCTTTGATCCTGTCCCTCCTCAAAAGTGTTTCTGATTACCCTTTTCCCCAATCTGCCCGCCCTTCTATCACCCCCCCATTCCTCCCCCCCACACTTTCTTGTAGGGTAAGATAGATTTCCATACCCAATGGAGTGTGTATGTTATTCCCTCCTTAAGCCAAATCCAATGAGAGTAAGGTTCACTCATTCCCTCTCACCTCCCCCTTCTTCCCCTCCACGGTAAAAGCTTTTTCTTGCCTCTTCTATGTGAGATAATTTACCCCATTCTACCTCTCCCTTTCTCCTTCTTCCAGTATATTCTTCTCTCACCCTTTATTTTTTATCATCCCCTCATATTCAACTCACTGTGTGCCCCCTGTCTTTATATATTCCCTCCAACTACCCTAGTAATGTGAAAGGTCTTGAGTTACAAATATCATCCTACTATGGAGGAATGTAAACAGTTCAACTTTAATAAGTCCCTTATGATTTCTCTTTCCTGTTTACCTTTTCATGTTTCTATTGACTCTTGTATTTGAAAGTCAATTTTTCTATTTAGCTCTGGCATCTCAAGAATGCGTTAAATTCCTCTATTTCATTGAATATTAATTCCCCCCCCCCATTTCCCCCCTCAGTTTTGCTGGGCAGGTGATCCTTGGTTGTAATCCTACCTCCTCCAGAATATCATATTCCAAGCCCTCTGATCCCTTAATGTAGAAACTGAGCTCTTCCATGGCCTGAGATCGATTCATATTTTTCTTGGAGGCTTTGGATGTAGGAACTTTGACTTCGTTGTCTTCTTTTGATTGTATTTTTGATCTTCCTTGTCACCAAAATAAGATTCTGTAGTCTGAGTTTTTTTTCCCCCCACTGTTTGCTCATTTCCCCAGCCAATTACTTGACTTTTAAACTCTTTTTAACTCTTTCTTTAGGTAGGGCTCTGCTACCAGTGTGGAGGGCACACTGTCCCAAGCTTTAGGGGTTTTGTGCAGCTGTTTTCAGGGATACTTCTAGGGACCTGTTACTTTTCAGTTCTTCCAAGGGGATGATCTGAGGAGAGGTATTTACTCCTCTCCTGGCCTGTGGGCTGTGAGTGACCACAAGCACTCTTTTCTGCCCTGGAACTGTGAGAAGGGTCCCCTCTCCATTGTTGCTGCAAGCTCTGCTATGCTAGTGCTTCTGGCCCCAGGACTGCCACCCAGGACTGTGACCTAAATCCAAGTATGGGAAAAGCAATGGAATCCTGCCTCAGTGCCAGCCAAGAGATCCTTGTGATCTTCTGACCGGTTGTTTGATCCACTTACCATATGTGGGCTGAGAGCTCTGGAAGCAGCTGCTGCCACTGCCACTGCTGCTGACCCAGGGCTACGCTGGGGCTGGGGTTGGACTGTGCTGCATTCTCACCCAGGTCCGACAGACCTTTACTAGTGATCTTCTAAGTTTTTTGGCATTTGTGGGTTGAGAAATCTGGAAAACACCACAGCTACCAGTGATTCAGTCCCCTGAGGCCTGCTCCAGGTTCCCTCAGGCCCAATCTGTGCGGGCAGGGCCTGCGCTGGACTCTCCCAGCCTGATGCAACACACCTTTCCTGTCGATCTTCCAGGTTGTCTTGGGCTGGAAATTTGTTTCACTCCGTCTTTTGTGGGTTCTGCTGCTCTAGAATTTGTTTAGAGCCATTTTCACAGGTATTTAGAAGGGTTTGGGGGGGAAAGCTCAGGCGAGTCCCTGCTTTCACTCTGCCATCTTGGCTGTGCCTCCAAACTAGTATATTCTTAAAAAGCTTTGCTAATGTAGGTGGTGATGTCAGTCAAATTGAGGAGTGGTCATTTCATCCTTGAGATATTATTTGGCTTTGAACCAGGTAGAATATTTGGCTAGTGTATTTTAATTAAACCAGCATTTGAAAATAGAGTTATTTCCACTACATCTTGTGAAGTAATTTCACAGTCATATCTTTTAGGAAATATGGAAAAGAATAAAAAAAATTAAAACCATGAAGCAAATATACAATTTTTAATGTGGTTATTTAGAAAATTCAAGTTTTTTTTTTTTTTGAGTGAGGCAATCAGGTTAAATGACTTGCCCAAGGTCACACAGCTAGTACATGACAAGTGTTTGGTCTGAGGCCGAATTTGAACTCAGTTCCTCCTGACTTCAGGGCCGGTGCTCTATCCACTGCACCACCTAGCTGCCCCTAAAAATTCAAGTCTTTAAAATACTTTAGGTTGGCTTCTAACATCCCCCCAAAAGGGCAGATAGGTAATGCAGTGTCTCGTTAGAGCTCTGGGCTTGGAAGCAGGAAGACTCATCTTCCTGAATTCAAATCTGGCCTCATAATATTGATAGACTTAGCCCTTCTCAGCAATGCAAGGATCTAAGACATCTCCAAAAGCCTCATGATGGAAAATGCTATCCATGTCCAAAGAAAGAACTAAGGAGTTTGAATGCAGATCGAAGCATACTATTTGCTATTTTTTTCTTCTGTTGTGTTTTGTTTCCTCTTTCTGGTGGTTCCTCCTAATGGTTCTAATTCTTCCTTACAGCATCACTAATGTGAAAATATGTTTAATAGGAATGTATATGTATAGCCTATATCAGATCGGGTGCCATCTTGGGGAGGGAGGTGGGGAGGGAGGGGGAAAAATTTAAAACTCAAAAGCTTATGGAAGTGATTGTTGATAAATCAATATAAATTAATTAAAATAAATAAACATAAAAAAAAACAAACAAAAAACCAAATCTGGCTTCAGACACTTAACAGCTGTGTGACTCTGGGCAATTCATTTAATCCTGTTTACCTCAGTTTCCTCATCAATGGACTGGAGAAGGAAATGGCAAACCATTCTAATCATCTTTGCCAAGAAAACCCCAAATGATGTCATAAAGAGTTGAACTCGACTTAAACGTCTCAAAAACAACAACAAACAGCAAAATCCCTCAAAATATAATTTTATCTAAAACTAAAGGCCCATAAAGAAGGAAAGGAGCATTTATTAAGTGTTTATTATACAGCAAATATTATGTTAAGCAATTTACAAATATTATCTCCTTTGGTCCTCATAACAATCCTAGGAGGATGCTATTATTATTCTTACTTTACAGTGGAGGAAATTGAGGCAAATAGAAGTTTGGTGATTTTCCTAGTCACACAAGTAATAACTTTCTGAGGTTGGATTTGTACGAAGTACTGCTGACTAGCTCAGCTCTCAATCCACTGTGCCACCTAGCTGCCTAAAAGGATTTTTTTAGGGTTTAAAATCTTTAGTTTTCCCCAAGTAAGTCTTGATCAAATCTCTCTTTAAAAAAGGCATTAAATTCAGAAGTAATTCACTGCTTTTTAAAGTCATCGTCCCAATTTTATTTCGTACATTCTTTGAGCCATTTCTTTAAGATGAAGATCAGACTGACCAGACCATCACCAAGGCTGGTGATGAACTGTTATGTGTTTGTTCAGAGGACCAGCCTAGCTCAGGCAGAGGCAAACACTTGGCTGCAAAATGATGAATGATTTTGGCTACAGAAACTCTGGAAGGCCATTTATTAAATTATAAAGTGATTGCAATCTGCACTGGTGGAGGGAGCAGTCGCACTGACAACATTATAGACCCTTGAAGTATTGAAGAAGAAGAAAAAAATTGATCATCTCAGCCAGTACTTGGTGTTTCAGCAAAACTGCTGTGTGGATTTCCATCTTAATGTGTCTCTAAGAAGTGTGTTTCTTTTATTTCAGAAGCTGCTTAAGATGTTTGAAAGTCACCGGCCTTTTTATCTTTGGAGTTGTATGTTCTGTAAGTATTGGCATTTGGAAATTTTGACCTAGAGTGCCAATAATTATATGGCTTCATCTAGGTTTTTCATCAGATCCTTCAGCCATAGTAGTAGTTAACATTTTTAAGGTCCTTTGTATGTTATCTCACTGGATCCTCCCAACAACCCTGTGAAATAGGTGCCATTTTTATCTCCATTTAATCAATGAGGCAATCTAGAGTCACAGAACTAGTAAGTATCCAATATAGTATTCCTGACACCAAGTCCAGTGTTCTGTCCACTGCACCACACTTCTTCAGAGAACATGCTAAGTCTTGGGGTTTTTTTTTTTTTTTTGAGTTAGCTAGAGCAACACAGATTTTTAACATTGATAGAGCCTCATGTTGGGTGAAAATGCCATGTCCTCAATTTGTGGCTTTCCTGTTCATTCTATGGTCCTTTGGAATATGATCAGGTCTTGAGCATCTGCATGAATGGAGGCCATTGGTGTCCCAAATAGCGGGCAATCTAAGAAGCATTTTATGGTGTTTCAAAAGGATTTAGATAATTTTCCCCATGCAGATTTAACTTCCTAATTAAGATTTTATTAAGCTAATATTGGGCAGCTAGGGGGCACAGTGCATAGAGCCCTAGACTTGGAGGACTTATCATCTTCCTGAGTTCAAATCTGACCTCAGATACTTACTACCTATGTGACCCTAAGCAAGTCTCAACCCTGTTTGCCTCAGTTTCCTCATCTGTAAGATGAGCTGGAGAAGGAAATGACAAAGCACTCTAGGATCTTTGCCAAGAAAACCCCACTGGGGTCATGAAGAGTCAGATATGACTGAAATGACCGAACAACAAGAAGTTAACATTCAAATTAATTTTCATTTCTTGATGGATTTTCATTTCATCAACTGATGATATAGGGACTGTGGAGAAAGGGAAGTCTCATGGACATATATTGAATGACAGGTAGAAACAAGGCTGTGATTTTAATTTTTTTTTTTTTTTACTGTTAATAAACCACTCATGCTTGATTGAAAGCTGACTGTAACTTGCTGTGTGTTCTTTTGTCACTCTCTCTGTAGATGAGGCTTTTTGTGTCAAATAGATATTTGCCCAGAATAATATTAGCAGTCTTTGTTTCAAAACTTGAGATATCAGGTCATCAGTCTGGTGTACTTGTTTGGGTTATAGCATATATGCAATGTCTTAGAGGTTCATAAGTCTCATTCAATCTTGCTAGATGGGAGGGCCACTTCCATCTTTCTTATAGCCGTTAAATTGATCATCTTCTTAATTGACTCTGAATTATAGGAAAATTACTTCATCAGTATTTGGAGGCTTAATTTTTGTTGCAGGATCTTTGCTCTTTGCTGTTGATTTATTTTGTAATGTAAAGTAATTGTTGATCAGTCATCAGAGTTCACTGTAGCTAAATGTGTTGCAGATTCTCAAAAAAAGAGCAAGTGAGAATAAGTTGGAAAATTTTAGATCCATAAATTAATAACATTATTATACTATTTTGCATCTGTTGACAAGATTATTTAAATGCCATTGCTATCATTTCATTAACATACCTGCCGCATTGACTAGCGTAGTGCCTTGTCAATAGTGTTTAATGAATATTTGTTAAATTGAAATTGAATCATCTTAGTTAAGGTGTTTACTTATAATTTTGTTTTCTAATTATTCCAGATTTTATTTAGCACATATCCAGATCATGGAAAATCCTGGCAGATGTTGGCTGTGTCACCTCTGGAAAGCTACTGTATCCAAAATATGCACTGAGTTTTTCAGTCACCAGCAGATGAGAATTGTAGAGAATTGCAGACCATGTGAAAATATATCACTTTCCTTTGAAGTTCACAGCATAGATTATGATTCTTCTACCTAAAGAGTCTGCTCATGCACATTTGTAGCAGACTACTTGGTGAAATGTGACATATTTTAAACAACATGAGGGGAGGGAGAACTCCTATAGCAGTTGATTAAATTGTGAAAAGTCATGCAGAGAGCCAGCACTGTATAGAAGTTTCAAAATTCTTCTCTCATAGCTGCAATTATTGGTGCCTGTCTTTAAATAGCCTTGTGCATATTTTGAAGTCTGAATATAAATCTGGTTCATAATGCTCTAAGTCTTGAGAGGTTGTAGAAACCTATGTGCATTAATGAGAAAAGAATAGTACCTCTAAAATATAAGCTGAGGTCAGTATTTACAATGGAGTATAATGCTACCTAGATCCTAGAAAGGAAATAAGTCTTGGCAAGAGAGATGAGGGAAACAAAGGCAGTAAATGCTGTTATCTGTGATAAAAACCAATAAAAAAGACCCGGTTTTGAATTGAATTCTAAACCCCTTGCAAGGTTTCCCTTGTAGTCTATGCATTATATCTTCCCTGTACTCCGGAGTCATCTTGTTAATGTCAGTACTTTATGGCAAGATAACTCTTCTTGTCCCAACAGTCAAACTTAAACCATTTCTCTTTCTTTCTCAATGTTGGGTGAACTGGTAGAGACACCAGAAAACATAAATAATAGTGATGGCTTTTGCAATTTGAATTCTCCTTTGCCATGTTGGAGTAGTTTCTTGGTATTGAAAAAGAAATTATATTGAATTCTCCCATGCTGTCAACTTTGAACATGTAAACCGTTTGAAAAATGAACTTAAATGAACAACTGCCTGCAACATAGTCTTATTCCTGAACCTGACTTCAATAACTTAACACCTTCTTATTACCTGAGCTAGACAGATGATACCAATAGGCTGAAGGTTTGATGGTAAATAATATTTGGGATGACTACCATGATGTGAAACATTTGAGGTAATTACATTTTAATAGAGAAATGATGCATTTAGTATTCTCAGTGATGGTTTTTTTTTTTGTTGGCGTCTTTTGTATTTCTTGGTATCTTGGCATTTTTCTTGGTATACTTTTAAGTTGGAAATATAAAAAATTTAATGTGAGATGGAAAACCCTCCAGCAGAAAATGACCTTTTAAAACACTGCTATTACTCACAAAATAAAAAGTCCCATAGGGCCAGAAGGCACCATCAGTGTCATTATCAGGGAATTCCACATAATTTAATTTTTAGGATTCTTCACATTAGTTATTATTTTAAAGTCCATATATTTTAACTATTTTATAAAATGTTTCTTTACTGCTGTGTCTTATAAAACTCTCTGCCCAGTGTAATGTAGCATTTTCTTGATGAGTCAAAGTCATCATTATGAACATCAATAGTCATATTGTGCTATAATAGCATACTTGCTCTCAGGGGTATGTGTAGGGACATTAGTTACCCTCTCTTCAGTTTTCTTTTTACTAATTTATCTTGATATATTTTCTACATATTTACCCTCTTATTAAGACCTACCAATAACTTGAACTGCATTTTCTACTTTTTTATTGAACACTGACTATGTGCCCAATGTTGTATTAGGTAATGTGAGGGATACAAAAGGATAAAATCTGGTCTTTGGTCTCAAGGAGCTTACAATACAGTTGGGAAAACCAGATTAATAACAAACCTTCTGGTAAGCAGACATTAAACACTTAAAAATGTTTTCTCAATGCTTATTGTTTATTTTTTTTCACACTACTGTCCCTTTTCTGTAAACCCAATGCCATAAACCTGCCATTATGACAAAGAAACATAAACTATTCTAGCAACCACATTTACGACATTCAGCACCACCTGTAGCCCACTACACCTTTGCTGACAGGAGGAAAGAAAGCCCACACATTTTATAAAGACTCCTTGCAGCTTTTACAATAGCAACAGCTTCTCTTTAACCTAAGCTGTGTTTTAAAAAATTTTAAAATAATTTTGAACTTAAATACAAAAGAACAAAAAAAATTCCATTTATACGGCACAACTCAAAGAGATGATTCAATATGAAACCATAAATCTTCATTTCTCAGTTTACTTTTAAAAAAACTATGTAATAAATACTATATAAAAATATACATAAAAATACTACATAAAAACAGTCTTTTCAAAGCTACCCTGCTTTTCTGTGCTTCTTTCTCAGTTTTCTTTTGTGTTCTGCTATGCACTTTTTATTTTTTTCTCCCTCCCTCCCCACTCTGCACCAGAGAAGTCCACCATTAGATACAGATATGTATATAGATGTAAAATCATACTATACACATTTCTGTTTATCAGTTCTTTTCCAGAGGTGGATAGTATCTTCCTTCATAGGTCCTTTGTAGCTGATTTGAGTATTTATAATATTCAAAACAACAGTCATTCACAGTTGTTCTGCAAACAATATTACTACTATTGTATACTTAGGCTACCTTTTAAATGAATTAAGTTTGCTCCAGGAGTTCCTGCACATCTAGGTGTGGTTTTCTGGTCAGCAATTTTTTACATTAATAGTGAACTGATTTATTAGAAGTACTCATTATCTTTGATCCCTAGGTGGCCCAGTGGATAGAGTGCCTGAAGTCAGTAAGACTCATCTTTCTGAGTTCAAATCTGGCCTCAGACACTTACTCGCTGTGTGAACTTGGGCAAGTCACTTCCTCCTTTTTGCCTCAGTTTCCTCATCTGTAAAATGAGCTGAATAAGGGGCAAACCACTCCAGTATCTTTGCCAAGAGAACCCCAAATGGAGTCATGAAGAGTAGGACATGACTGAAACAACTTAACGATAGCAACAAAAAAATGGAGAAGTCATCGAACCCTTTCAGTGTCCACAATACTATCAAACCTATGTACTCTTGGGATCTAGAGAGACTCTGGAAGCAAGACTCAATTTTGTTCTTTTTCCCAGGAAAAGAGACACCATTTCTTCTGAACTCATTATGAACATGCTTTGGGTGACTTTTCCCGTAACCAGTTCTTCAGGTCTCTTTACCCTAGTACTTGGTTGAAGGTTTTCTTGATTTTTTATTTATGCTTCGGAGCTTTAAAATTCTGTCTTAGCTTCAGGGTTTAAACAACCTTTACCTTCAAGAAAACTGAACATTTCTATGAATATGACCCACTTTTGCTACTCATCCCTTTAACCTTCTTGATTCTCTTGCAAATAGGAAATATACTTCTAAAAACTCTGAGCTTACCTCTGGACCTCAAGGGAAACTGTCATGGTGGAGCATTCTTTCAACTAAGGCTCTTAGGAGAACAAACTGATATGTCTTCTTTATGACTTCCACAAGGGAATTGGGGAAGAAGTGTTTTTATTTTTTTAATTTAGTGCTCCAAATAGACTAAAAAATCCCAAAAAACTGAAACCAGAGGTTATGTCTAGTCAGAGATGGTCTTCAGTCAGACAAATAAATGCTGTCTATGGATTTTTTTTTTTAAATTTGAGGGGGTATAGGGATTGGTAGGAAGGGGAATGTGGGAATTTTAGGAGATAATGGAAAAATGTTATCCTCTCCAAGAGTGGCTCAAGAAAATTAGGATCATAAGATTTTGAATTGGAAGGAAACATAGAAAAGAAATATTTTAGTGCCTCAGACACTTACTAGCTGTGTAACCCTAGGCAAGTCACTTAAGCCTGTTTGCCTCAGTTTCCTCATCTGTAAAATGAGCTATGGAAAAAAAATGGCAAACCACTCCAGTATTGCTGCCAAGAAAACCCCAAATGGGGTCATGAAGAATCAGACACAATCAAAATGCCTGAATGATGGAACAACAGAAAGCTGTTCATGGTTTCTTGGTGTTCCTCTAAAGAGCAACAACACAGAAAATTAAGAGATGGAATTTAAAGACAAGCTATTTCCAGCCTTACATCAAAGATGGTTCTCCAGGGAGACAGTCTTGTTAAATACAAGGCTACAATTATGCCTTCAGTGCAGCTGTGGCACAGGAAGTCTTCTTAAAGGGCATAGATGGAGTAGGCAGACATCATGGAGATATTGAAGATTTATGGAATTTGATAGCTATGATGCATTATTCCCAACCTCTGCCATCACTAATGTCTCCTGCTCAGCCGGAGGAGCCACAGTGAGCTGCCAGCCTATGGTGACACAAAAGCTGGTGGTGGAGCAGCTACCAGCAGTGGAGGCTGAAGGAGTCTAACAGAGTTTAGACAACATTGCTTGTTGGGGAGGGCTAAAAGCCAATTGAGTAGCTTAGTCTGGTGCCAATATTGTGAAACCCCTGGACTCAGAGGCTTGCCAGAGTGACAAGACAAGGATGAACCAGCCAAGGTTGGAAAAACTGATCAGGTCAAAGCTTCCATGCTGGTGAATATGTAAGTGGTCCCTATACTTCCACCTGGGGTGAGATAGGAATATCCAGTTCAAAAAAAAAGTTAAAAAGAAAAGAAATCAAGAATCAGGCAGAGGGGCAGCTAGGTGGCACAGTGGATAGAACACCGACCCTGGAGTCAGGAGGAGCTGAGTTCAAATCTGGCCTCAGACACATAACACTTACTAGCTGTCTGACCCTGGGCAAGTCACTTAACCCCATTGCCTACCCCCCCCAAAAAAAAGAATAAGGCAGAGTCTTTTACTGTTGGGATTATTATTTCACTTTAAGGACTTATTAAAATTATCTTGCTGAAAGAAGTTATTCTCTGAATAAATCAACATCTCTCTGATAGTAAGGTTAGTTAAAGATACCACTGATGTACCTGCTGCAGATTTGCAACGTGCCACTCTTTATTATAAAGAATTTTATGAAAATTACCTGTTTAATTTCCTTTTTTGATTTTCTTCATAAATCTAGTATTATGCCATCTAGTCGGAATGGTTTAAGTGAGTCTTGTTTAGAACTGGAGGAGAGATCAGGTAGATTCTATAGACAAATTTCTCCCCTTTACAATGTTTTGGAAACTTGAGGTAGGTTAGTAGAAAATGGAAGGAAGAGCTGTACAGATAGATAAAAGTCTAGTAAGATTGCAGTTGGGGTGATTCATGGGTGGATCAAAAAGAAGGAAAAATAAGTGAGTTTAGTAAAACAGAATGATGGCTTCTGAAGTGGGTGGGTGGGGGGGATAGAGACAGAGAAAGAAAAACAGAGAATGAAGGAATGAGTGAATGAATGAAAAGGCATTTATCAAAAAGCAGAAATTCTGCTCATTCAGGGCTCAATTCCAGTTTCCCCTTTCTTTTGTCTACTCCCTGCTATAAATAAACTTCCCTGCCTTTATCCTGAGTAATCCAGAATTTACTTTAAAGGTTTATCTATGATAGATATGGGGAGAGGAAGCTTTGAAACTAACCTCCAGGGCAAGGTGGTAGTGGATATGGCTGCTCTCAAGCCTTAGCTGGAAGTCTTGTAATTGCTTAGTAGAAAAAAAAATGCCGAAGTTCTTTAGGTTTCTCAGTGTTGGTCATGACAGGGCAATGGATATTTTTGTGTTTATTGTTTCTTAGTGAAATAGCAATCTTGCTGTTTCTTTTGTCAGCTTCTGGTCAAGGTCAGTGATGATGTTAATTCACAACTTTGATCTGGATTTGATGGTGGGTGGAAGCGCCTTGTGCAAGATCCCACAATAAGCAATTTTGCTTTGATGGGGAAAAGTTTCTTCATGAGAAAGTGACCCAGGAAATAACAAAGCCACTTTCCCCAACCCCACAGAAATCTCATGTTTCTTTTGTTCCAGGCTCAATGTGTCATCTCAGTAATTGTGGGATTTATTTGAGAAGTATTGTATAAAAGGAAACCACCACAATTACCTGCACCTGAAGCTCATTGTTGAGAAATTGTTGGCTGTACTGGCTGCAAGGAAGAATTTGTCAGAGAAGCCTTAGGTTATCAGGCCAAGGAGAGGGGTCAGCAGACCTCAGTAGGCAGGTTAATTAATGCCTTTCCTTCTTAAAGGCGTATATTTCCAGCCATCGTTTAAAACTCAATGCTGGGTTTGTGAATATGTAAAAAAGAAGGAAAATACAATACATTAAACTATTCCCTATCCTTTCCCCTTTCACTTAGACTCCAAGCCTTTAGAAAACTATAGGAACTACGGGCATTGTTCTGTCTTGAATGGAATCTCTTCATGGACAGAGAAAATATGGATGTATTAATTTGCTCCAAGGGGATCTATTTTTAAAGGACACTAATGATTCCTAATTTTTTATCTTTTATCTAATAATGTTGTCCTGTGTGGTTTCCTCCCTTCTCTTCCAACCCCATGGATTCTAACATTGAGGACCAAGATGTTGCATATTTCCTTACTTTTAATCAATCAGTTATTCACTCAACAAGTATTTTCTGAGCTAGATGTTGTGAGAGAATTAGCAAAAAAATGGAATTTGATTACAAATCTATATCTATTCTAGGTACCATTAGACATATCTTAACATAGATGAATAAATGAATTAAAAAGCTTATTAAGTGCTTACTGCATGCCAAACACATGTTAAGTGCTTGGCATACAAATACAAAATTCACATAGTCCTTCCAGGACTTTGTATTTTAATGCTGGAGTGGGGGAAGTGGGACATAACACATGAAAGAATAGTGGCTAGAAAAGGATGTTTTGATCTAGAAAGTTACATCATAGGGATGTCATAGGGATGGTGAGCAGAAAAAGAAACTCTATTGGCCACACCTAATGATCATTTAATTACATTTGGGGTTGGGGTGGGAGTAGGATATGTATGAAATGGCAAGGAAAAAATGGCCAGGCTGAAGATTAGGATGCATGGTCCCAGAGAGTTCATAGCTGAGTGGCTTAACTTCTTTAGGGCATCATCTCTGGAGATCTGGTTTGAAAGGTGGACACCCAAGCAGTAACAGGGCAGAAACTGGATGGTGTGAAGGTGAGGAAGTGTGGTAGCAGGGAGTTCAGTCAATAAACAAAATAAATAAACATTTATTAAGTGCCTACTATGTGCTATAGTGGTAGGGATACAAAGAAAGGCTTTGAGAAGCTCACAATCTATTGGGGGAGACAACATGCAAACAACTACATAAAAACAAGCTGTATGCAGCATAAATGGGAAATAATTAACAAAGGAAAGGTGCTAAAATTAAGAGTGACTGGGAAAGGCATCCCGTAGAAGGTGGGACATTCCCCAAGCAAGCTGGGGAAGCCAGGGGTAGAGATGAGGAAGGAGAGCATGCTGTGCATGAAGGACAGCAGTGAGAGTGCCTGAAGTCAGGAGGGGGAGTTTCTCGTTCAAGGAAAAGTGAAGCGGCCGGGGACACTGTATCAAAGAGTATATGGAGTGGCATGTAAGCACCCTAGCTTCTGTCACACATGGCCTCTGGAAGTCCACTTAGGAGGATGGAGGGGCAGAGGCAGAGCTGCTGGAGTTAGAGAAGGGGCTGTAGACATCACCCAGTTCAACCAGATGGGGTTTTGAATCCAACTCCTCTGACTCCAAACCCTGGGCTCTCTTCACTACAGACTTGTCTCTCAAAGATCTACTTCCTCTAAAAAAAAAGAAAAGAAGGGCCACCAGAGAATAAAGGAAACTAAAGGAGGAGAGGAAGAGTTCTGTCAACTGTTGAACTGCTTACCAGAAAAACAAAACAAAACAAAACAGAAAAGGGAAATCCACTTACCTCCTTCCTATTCTGGCCTCCTTTCCTCTTGCAGGAATCTCTACAATCCCTTGCCAGAGAGGAGGCACTTCTCACATCTTCATTTAGCAGAGTCTTTAACTTCATTGTCAGCACCTTCTGTCAGTCGACCCTGTACCTTCTGAATACCAAGTACTATGCCAGACTGAAGGTCATTAGGGATGCTGCCCCCTCATCAAAGGATAAATAAGTTATAAATCAAGGATTCCCAGAACAACAGAAAGACTCCACCTTGATCAAACCACATACGTGGTTATTGCTTCCTTTTCTGAGAGTTAATGTTCTGCTGGGTGCAAGGTTAGTGAGCTGTAACTAGAGGCAGCTAGGTGGCACAGTGTGGGACCTGGAGTTAGGAAGACCTGAGTTCAAATCCAGTAGCTGTGTGACCCTGGACAAGTCACTTAACCTCTGTCTGCCTCAATTTCTTGTAGGAATTACAATAGTGTCTGCCTCCCAGAGTTATTATTAGGATAAAATGAGATATTTGTAAAGTGTTTTATAAACCTTCAAGTACTACATAAATACTATTTTTAGACTAGAATACAATAAAATATCAATAGGTTGTTTGATATTGTCAAATACAATTAAGTACCAGGCATCTAATACCATGTTTAGGTAGCAAGGAGTTTATAACAGATTGTTTCATATCTTACTAAATAATATTTAGAACCATGATTTGCAATAATTTCTATGCCTCTATGTACACCACTGGTTTGGGTCAGTGACAGAATTCTCATTTTCAACTCCCCTTTTGATTTCTCCTTTTACAAAGGTTTGACCTCCTTAAGGATGGTAGTGGAGATTTTAATTCATTTCTTCCTTTGTCCATTCATTTACCACCCTCTAAATCCTCAGTACTCAACTTTGAGCTTTGAGGAGATAGAAAAGTTTCTTTCCTCAACTTTATAATCTATATTTGGAGATACAGCATGGCAAAATGGGGATTGGTAGGGATTCTAGGAGATGTGGCATCTTTGCCTCTGTTCAAATCAAGCACTTGTGTGATGTGATCTGAAGTAGAAGGTGAATATGACCCCTATGGCTGATACTAATGGGGCAAGTCCTTGGGTTTCTTAGGTGCTGTGCTACTATTCCCCTCCTTTGGACATTTATCCCTTAACAAGCAGGGCACCAGCTGTGAATCTTACAAATGTTGGTGACTCTGCTCTACTCAAGTTAGAGCTGGCAGGGTCCTTGATAGTTGGTGTGGTTAATCGGCCTCAAGCGGAAGAACATATTGTGGTTGAAGTTACTCAGTCAGAAGACCCTGGCTCCCGAAGGAGGCGCCCACAGCAACAGGTAATAAAGATGAGCTATATGAAAATAATTGCTTGAGAAGATGTCACATCTCTTTCAGGTTTGAACCACTTTTATCACATTAAGTTTCATTTTTGAAAAGATTTGGTTGTGAATTGTAAGGTAATGACACCATCGGCCATCAAACAATTTGCATTGAGACCTTTTTCTTGTCTGGAAAATATATTTTTTCTCCTGTTCTTTGTAAAGTGACTACACAACCCTTGGCTCTATGTTGCTGTGAACAGACAGCTGTATGAGTTTTCCCCAAAGAATGAATTGATTGAGAAATTTAGAGGAATATTATAGGTTTTGTATTTCTTTGTGGTAGTGATTCATATTGGAGGCACCTTAATTAGATTTTTCTTAAGGGTACTGACTGCATTCATGTGCTGTAATTAAATTGTCCTTGTACACAATTGCATTACTGAGAAGGGCTTACATATTTTCCATTTGCTTATGGTTGCTTACATATTAGTATCTTAGTGCTTACAGAATGACTTGAGTTTATCTTCTCATGAAAAGCAAAGCACAAATCAGAAATGTATAGTAGTGATTATTTTTGTATTATGACACAAGCTTAAAAAAAGAATACTTGTAGATTGTATTTCTTAAATCATATTCCTTTTAATTCCTTTCAGAGTAAGAATATTTTGTATTCCATTTCTAACCTACCAGTATTTCTACGTCTATGATACTTTCAAAATTTATCTTATATGTTAATAATATGTAAAATATAAACTATATATGATATATAATATATATTATACATTTTAAAAGTTTCTACAGATCTTTTGCTCAACATTTGGTTTTGGATCAAGAAAAGGAACCCACACTCATTACTCAATTGACTGAAGCCGTTGCTTGGCAAGAATATTCAGGAATGTGTGCACTTTACTCATAATCACCTCTAGCCCCCTGTTTCAAACACACTATGATATGCTATGGTACAATGTCTGGGCCCACTAGTGGTCTTCCATGAAATGATGGCGTGTTTCTTTAGATAGCTGACTGCAGGGTGTCTAGTGATAGAGATTGATCCGGAATTCTCTGTCATTGAGGAGTCTTTCTGACCTTTTGCCTGCTTGAGAACCCATGGTCAAAGTGAGGCAACAGACACAGTGGGATAGCTGAATATTCATAGTCTCTGAGGTTATCAAGAATCAACAAAATTCAGAATAAGGCAGCTTGGTGTAATAGTGATTAACTCTCCCTCAATTGAGTGAAACCTTCTATACATGTTTATTCTTTCATCCACCTTTTGTAAGATGCATACAATTATAAGATGCTGGTTCAAAAACATTTCCGTATTCTTGCCAATAAATCATACCCAACCTGGACCATAGTCTTAGAGTTGGGAGGGCCCTTAGAGGTCGTCTACTTCAACTCCCTTAAAAATGAGGAAACTGATGCCCGTGGAGGTGACGTGACTTCCCCAGGGTCACATTCGCAGAAGTAGGATCTGAATCCACGTCCTTTGACTATACAATGCTGAACTCTTTCTACTTCACCACATTTTCTCCTAACTATAAGACTAGGTACATGGAAGGGTCTTTCCTTCTTTTACTTGGTTAGTTTACTTGTACCTACATACTATTATTCAGTCTATCATTGACCCTTGGTCAGTTGTTTGGTGGTGACAAGTTATTTATAAACATATTTGTAATGACTTATATAGGTTTTGGAAATAGTCACACAATCAACTATCCAGACAGTTCAAACTCATAAGAATGACACTTATGGCCCTGCAATTACCATTTGGCTATGTGCAGTCCGGTATTGATAAGGCTTCATAAGTATTTTTTTCTCTTCTCGAAAATTTTGCATAATGGTTTCCTTTTCTGAAATAAAGATTCTTCATAAACCAAATAACTGCATAATATGTTTCACTGAAAGATGATTGTCGACTGTTTTTTAGGTCATCTATAACTGGACCATCTTTTTAAATTCTAGAAGAAATGAACGAGCTGTTACTTCAAGGACTTTTGAGATAATTACCAGGTTGGTTCTCAGATAAATGGGAATTTAGAAAAGCAGGAGGGAACTACTGCATGCCAAATTGTGAGACAGAGAAGGGCATGAGTTCTAATCATAAATTGTCATAGCCTCTGTTTAGCTAGGTGCGCCTGGGAAAATCACTTCATCTCTCTATCTCCCTCTAAGTCCTACTCAAATGCTTTGTCCTGGTGGGCATGACCTTGAGTTCTTGAAGGTTAAATCAATAGAGAACAAGCTCTGGTAGAACCTACCAGCCCTCCCCCAAAACTGGTGATATATATGATGGCTAGATAGAGCATTTATTGTGTGCTTACTATGTTTCAGGCACTCTGCTAAGCTCTGGGGATACAGATAAGATAGTCCATACTCTCAAGAAGCTTACATTCTACTAGAGGAAGGCAAAACACATACGGGAAATGAAGGAAGTGGTAGGAAGGGGCTGAGAAGTTCAAAGAATGCATGTCAGGCATGAGTGAAGTAAAGCATGACTGAGATCTTTCCTAAAATAGAGCTTTCAGAGGGAATCACCAATCAGGAGATCAGGACTTCAGAACGGATGTTTTCCTAGGGGGCAAGACAACAGGTAAGGGGGAGGAGAAGTGATGATGTATTGTATATCTATTATCTGAGGATTAGCCTAGTTAAATTCGAAGAAACCCATCTCCAGTTTGTCTAGGAGGTGACAAAAACCTATCCACAGCAGCTCTTAGAGATTATTTACTAAGTCCTCCAGGCATTGTAATCAATGTTGTTGGAGGAGGTACCCACGTAATGAAATCACAGATGACTGAAATATTAAAGTGTATAATATCTTTGTCATCATGGGATTTAATATACATCAATTACTAGAGGCTAGGGAGAAATCACCATTATGTCTATGCTAATTATTATGATGAGAGAATCCAAGAAATGAGTTTGAGGAAAATTATTTTCATCTTTTTCAACATTCAGATTCCATTTTTATTCTGAACCTTCCTAATAAAAATGAGCCTATTTTGCTTTTGAGGAATTCTATGTTGTAAGAAATTTTGGAATGTTCCCTTATTCTTTTATTTTAAACTTTAGCCTTTTCTTCCTTATATTTCTGCATCCTTCCTCCTACCAGAGTTCATTTTAGAATCTCATCATCACATAATAGAATCAGGATCCCAAAAAGTTATTACCCAGCTGGAACTAGTTATTAACTAGTTGAGTAAATCTAATAAGAAGAAATTCAATGGGGACAAATGTAAAATTTTACTTTTGGAAACAAAAAGTCAACTTCAAAATACAAGATAGGGAGGCATAATAAAGTATTTGTGAAAGAGACCTGGGGGCTTTTTAGTGGACTTCAAGCTCAGTATGAATCACTAGTGTGATGAATTACAAAAAAACTAATGTGATCATGGGCTGTGTGGAAAGATGCTTAATTTTCACACTAGAGAGGTGATAATTACTCACCAGACATCTTGTCAGATGATAATTACTCACCAGATCTCGTCAGACATCATCTGGAGTACTGTTTTTGGTTCTAGGCATAATGGTTTAAGGACATTGATAATTTCATTAGTGTCCAAAGTAGGGCAATCAGGATGGTAGGAGGGTCTTGAGTTCATGTCACATGAGGACAGTAGGGTACATTCTTCCAGTTGTAGGCACTGGACATATTTAGCCTAGAGAAAAGAATCAGAGGGGACCTAAGAGTTTCCAGAACCATCAGGTAGGTGGAGAGATTAAATTTATCCTATTGGAGCCCTGGAGGCAGAACCAGGGACAATAGATGAAAGTTTCAGAGGCAAATTTAGGTTTGATGTAAGGAGAAACTTTCTGCTGCACCAAAGTACAGTGTGCTACCTCAAAATTTTTTCCCTTCCTTAGAGATCTTCAAGCAAAAGCTGGATGACCACTTGTCAGGTGTGTTATTGTGAAGATTCCTTTTGTGTAAGGGTTAGAATATAAGGTCACTGAGGACCTTTCCAACTTTCAAGCTATGTGATTCTGTGAGAATATTGATAAATATTTGGGTTTGGAAATACATACTTTAGTATACAGCCAAGTCCTGATTATCCAAAGATTGTTGGTTTTTGTTTTTGTTTTTGTTTATTGTTTTTGTTTTTGTTTTTTTGTTTTTACCATGGCATACACCATCAGGAAGGCTAGGTAGAGGCCAAGGAACTAAAACCATTTTTCTCCTGGTGTACTGCATTTGGAGTCAGAGAACTTGGGTTTGAGGCTTGGCTCTGCTGCTTATTATCTGTGTGATCTTGAGTAAACCATTTATTTTTCTGGGTTGCAGTTACCTCATCTATGAGATAAAGGGGTTGGATTAGGTCTTCCAATTCTACATCTTGGGATCTTATGATTTCTTCTTTATTTTTGTTTTATTAGCAACCACTCATAAAAGGTAAGCCACTAATAAGGAGGTGTGCTTAGGAAAAAAAGGTGGAAAGTAGTGGCTAAAATTAAGTTCAGGACTGTTATTGGTTAGTTGTTTTAGTTGTATCCAACTCTTTGTGACCCCATTTGGAGTTTTCTTGGCAAAGATTCTTGAGTGGTTTTGTCATTTCCTTCTCCAGCTCATTTTACAGATGAGGGAACTGAGGCAAACAGGGTTAAGTGGTTTGTCCAGGGTCACACAGCTAATAAGTGTCTGAGGTCAGATTTGAACTCAGGAAGCTGAGTCTTCCTGACCCCAGGCCCAGTGCTGTATCCTCCGTGCCATCATTATTTCCTATGAATAATTGAATTGATTGTGGAATGATTTGGTGCTAGAGTGGAGTCAGAGAGAAAGCTAATTGTTATGCTGGAGTACCTTTCCCTTTTACCAACTGTATAACATCTGTTTCTTGCTGCAGAGAGACCATTTCAATAAATATTCGAGGCTTCCTCCAGAAAAACCAGGTGATTCCCCTTTCAATGGCTCACCAATACCTCCATGCAGACATAGAGACCCAAGTAACCATTGCATCAGTCATTTTGGCGGGAGTTTATGTGCTAATCGTATTTGAGGTAAATATGATATCTATTTTTATTGGTTTGTCTTTTCCCACAATTAAATATTACCTAACTCTTCTATGGAGGTTCAACATTTGTTAAGTAGGCTCTTATCAATTAGCATATTATAGTGTGAGAAAACTGGTTTGAACTTGAATTGGCTTTTTGAACCCCAAGAACCTTCATTTGCGAAAAAGGTATGTTTCAACGTCATAAACATTTGTGTTAAAAGAATCCAGATAAACTCCATCTTTAATGTATATTTGTATTATTGTCTCCATTAAGAGTTTGCTACACTATTGATGTGTTTTTTTTTCTATCAACTTAGACAATGAGTGTTTTCCCAAAACTTCTTACCTTACCTCTTTATTGTTTAGAAAGCATATTAGATAGGTGTATCACTTCACAACAGGAACAAAGAAAAATATTTTCAATCTTAAAGTGTATAATGTTTGAAAACTAGTTTGTATTTACTCTACATGTATCTTGTAGATGACTATTAAGGGAACTGAGTGTTTTTCTTTTTGATTATGTTTGTATTCTCAGTGCTTAGCACAGTTCCTGGCACATAATAAGTTCTTAATAAATGCCTGTTGATTGATTGAACACTACGTATCTATATACCATGGTAGAATATTTGTATCACTGAGTAGTCTAGAACACAGGTAAACAAAGTCATAAGAAGTAAATTTTAAAAGTTTACTAGGTGAAAAAAATATTAATGAAGGGCATAATTCTAGGTGCGTGGAAGAATTTGGAGATAAATAGGGCATTGAGAACAGGAAAATGGTATTTTTTAATTTCAAGAAATTTATCTGAGTTTACCCCATATTATATTGTAAATTAATAGGAATCAATTTGCTTGTGATTTATAGGGATTTGGATGTGGATATACGAAAGCCTGGAATATTTTCCTGGGCTTGTTTTTAGTCCTTTATATTGGGTGGCTAAAGTCATATGGGCACAACTGATCTACTTTTATTGTTTTGTCTTTTCCCACATTCCTGTCATTGTTTTTGGTGAGTTGGAGAACAGTGTCTTATTAAAGGGGAAAGAATGAATCAGTTAAAAGAAGACATAACACAAAATAGTATATAATTCTTCTTACTTAACATGAACAGCCTGAGTTCACTTTAGGGAAATATTCACTTATTTGCTTCACTGGATCTATTTAAATAAAACTGAAAAATTCAGAATCTGGTACCCAGTAATGGTAGCACCAGCTTCTCTCATATACATAGGCTCTTAAGACTTCAAATATGCATTTTATTTACATAGTTTCAGATGTAGAAAGGACTTTCCTTTACTTATGAGCTTATGGAGAATCAAGAGTCCCAATCCCCACTACAAATATAACAAGTGAAACAAATTAATGCAACAATAAATGTTTTGAGTCCCTTCTGTGTAGATACCAAGGGGAACAGAGAAATTAAATAAGACATGGTCCTTAATCTCAAGGACCTTATAGTCCAGTAAAGGTATGTTTCCATTTAAGAGAGTTCACTTGCCAATAGCACAAGTCTGCTTCTGAGAAAAGCAATTGCTGAATTAAATCTTCACTGACAGTTTACTTACCTGGGATATAGGTCTGCTCATACTTTTAAGAGGAGCAGTTACTGATATTAAGTCTAATTCAGAGTTCTGAGACAACACTTGCTCTTTTCAGTGTAAAGAGCTGTGGAATTTTGGAGTAAATGGAGAACACACTATAGTTTAGTGATTTAAATAAGAAGAATTAGAGAATTTTGAGGTTAATAAATGGGGAAATGTGGACACCAGAATGGTTCTGAGACTAAATGACAAATGTAATTTATATTATGATAGCCAGAAGATGAGAATTTGGTTGCTAATCACAAATTAAGTTAGGTTAATAGGGGATAGAGTATGATGAGAGAAGAGATGTACAGAAAGAAATAGAGGAAAGGCTGTTTTCTCTCTGTACCATTACTTGTTGCTAGGCTGATTGGTTGGCCAATCAGAGCCTGGTTCTAAAGCTAGTGGACCTGGGTTCAAATTCTGCCTTCAGTGCTTACTGTCTTAAGTAAGTCACTTAAATTCCATAGGCCTTCATTTCATCATCTATTAAATGAAGAGGTTAGACTAGATGAGGTCTTTTTCAACTCTAAATTTATGATCTGTGATTACTAATTTCATTATGTTAGTTATTGGATCAAAGGATCATAACTATTAGGTCTGAAATGGACATTAAAGGACATTTAGTCCAACCCTCTCATTTACAAATGAAGTAATTGAAGTTCAGAGAGGCTGACTTGCCTAGTGGCCAGAGGAACAATCAATAATGTAAAAAAGTAGAATTGCAAAAAGGATAAAGCAAAGTCCCAAAAGTCTCTCTTACCATCTTTTTCTCATTTGCAATAGCATGGTTTTGTTATTCTTTTCTGTCCATTAAAAAGAGAGGAGCTCTTCTGTGCATTCAGACAAAACAGCTAACCCACAAAACCCAAGCAGCACTGAGGGGCGAAGGGCGTCCCATTGACAAGAATTCTGAAGTGATGGAAGCCTGAGGGCTGTTTGGGAGAACAGATGAATTAGGAACACTTTATCTGACCTGGACCATAAAGCCAGATTAGAGATGAGAACCATAGTGTAAAAATACAACCCAGACCAGACAAGAAGGAACTTTGAATTCAGAGTTTAAATTGGATTCATGGTTTAATGGAGTAACTATTTTGCTGTCCATCCTGATCTAAGATGACAAACCTATGAAAAACCTAAATGGGACTTTTTTATTTGATTTGATTTTTTGGTATAATCCCATTCAACAAGGCTGCCATTTCTCTTATATTAAGTAATTATGTTCCAAAAGGATAAAAAAGCCTGTCAAAACCTCCCATAAAGTTCCTCATTCCTGTTGCTGATTATTCTTCTCAATCTCTCTGACCTTTTATACTGTGACCATAGAAATATGAAATCACCTGTGCTTTTCTTTCCAATTACCTTTCTGTAATGAAAGCTACTGCCATAATGGGGGGGAGGGGAACTCTATTCAAGCAATAAAATATTTCCAAGGCCTAAATAACTCTCCTTTTTGCATGTTTTAAAATGAAATATTTTCTCTTAAACTTGGAAGCCTCATTGTGGCATAGTGATCTTGCTATGGTAACCCTGGGTTCTTAATAGACTATTCTCAAAAAACACAGGTGTCTGACAGGTCCTAATCAAGCTCTTCCATGCTTTATTGATGGACTGACTAGGTGTCAGTCTACCTACCTGATTTCATTAAGTTGGTCACTAGAAGGTTTAATACCAAATGAGTGATTATTTTTGTCTATGGCAACTCAGGAAACTGTCTATTATGGTGTGAAGAATTGTCATCTGCATTAGCGGAGACAATAGTCATGTTGATGACATAGCAGATCTATTATGTTGATTAATAATATATTAATTGCCATTTATGTGATGCTTGATTTGTATAGTTCTTCATTCCTAAAGTACCTTATGCTCAATTTCCTTCATGTATGAATAGGTGTTTATTTATCAGCAAATTTGCAAAGGACTGAACACCTGACATCACCACTATTTTTCTAGCCTCTGGAATAATCTCTTTACATAGCTCCATGAGGTGTCGTATATATCATCAATTCAAATGAATTCAATTCAATAAACATTTAAGTGTCCACTATGTGCTAAACATATAGTAGATGCTGAGGATACAAAACCAAAAAGAAAACAGTCTCTGCCTTCAAGGTACTTATATTTTACTAGAGGAAAACAGCAGCTATAATAATAAATTAACAAGCATGTTAAAAATACCTACCATGTGCCCAGTATGGTGCCAAGTGTTGTGGATACAAGAACAAAAATGAAACAGTAGTTCCTGACTTCAAAGAGCTTATATTCTACCAAAAGGTAAATTGTGTGTGTGTGTGTGTGTGCATGTGTGTATATATACATATATATATATATATACACGCACACACACATGTATATATATACACACACACACACATATGTACCTATATATACATATACACATTTATGTGTGACTTGCTAAGTAATTTATGAAATTGTGAAACGGGGATAGGCATACCTAGTTCTTTGGGTACTTATCGAGAAAGATTAGTATGGCAGTGGGAAGTAAGGCTACAATCACACTTTAATAAGACACAGAGGATGCAGGGGTAAGCAGCACAGAAAGTATGGAGACAAGCCATGCAAAGGGGTGTGGTGAATAAGATGGCTGGGTATGGGGACAGGGATGGAGTGGTAGGTGCAGGCAACATGGGGAAAAGAATGGCCAGGAGGAAGTCATTTATATAACTGTGGTTCAGTATTGGAGACACTCGAGCAGTATGGACATGGAATAGTACCTGAATGTCAAGAATTTGAAGTCTCACTTTTACAGGGTTTTTTTTACTGGGGACAGACTAACTCTTATTCACGTCACCTTGGGGTTAGCTCTTTAACATCCAAATCATCTCAAAGTCTTCAGTAAAACTTTAAAATTAACATGTCCACATCCTCTTAAATTTATCTGCTCTATTTGTTGTTCTGCTGGTCTTACTGTTGCTGTCTAGAACTTAACTGAGAATTAGATGATGTAAGACCAAAAGGCCCTGATAGCAAGTCCTTTATGGCTCACTCTGATTCAGCTCATAGTCTCAGGATGTGATTTTTGCTTACTATATAATACAGTTTGCAAATTTTATTCCTTTGATTTGTGAGACACCCTGAACATGACTTCTAAATTCCCATGTACAATCTTACTTCCTGCTATTGTTACTTGCTACTTATAAACATATATACTGTCTAGAAGCAGGGTGGTGGTGGTGGTGGTGGTGGTGGCCAGGGGGACCAGAACAAGATACAATTTCAACATGTGCACACGTATGAAATAAGTAAACACACATATACATATATGTATTACATGTGAATACGTCTATACATATGTAATTTTGATGATATGTAGAGCATTAGCTGGAGGCATCAGCAAAGGCATCTTGTAGGAGGTGGCATTTGAACTGAACCTTGATATCTTCTCCCTTTCTATCTGC